GAAGTCAAACTTTTATGTTAATTAAAAACAAAATCAAAGGTATTTTAAAAATTATCTAAATTTTAATTTTTAAAATATATCTTTTAAATAAATAAAAATAAATTTCAAAAATATAATATTTTACTATAAAAAGATTCACTTATAATCTCAAATCATGTTCATGGATAAAATATAGTTTATTTTAGTTTTATAGTATAAAATTATTTTTAAATATTATACTAATAAACAAAAGTTTCTTCATAAAATTTTTTAGTACAAACATGAGTTATAAATAAATAAATTAGTTATTTTTTAATCAAATTAACTTTGATCTGAAATTTAATTTAATTAAATAAGTGACCTATATTTGAATTGGCTTGACTTCATTCATTCACATCGTATAATAATAGTTGTTATCTTAAATGTCATTAATAAAAATTAATAAAAATGTTAAAACATGATTACTTTTTATTATGTCTCTTAGAAAACTATTAAAACAAACTATAAATAAGATAATAGTAAGTTATATAAGCATCCATAAAAAAGGAACAGATACAAACCAAACCAAAATGGGAGGAAAATTAATTTGGCAAATGGTTAAAAGAAATATCCGACAGCACATGCAAATTCCAAACAATAGAAATATAGTAATCACCGAAAAAGATAAAGAAAAAATGAAGTACACAGAGTGTGAGATTTTGGGTCAACTGGGCAGAGAAAAGAAACAAAAAGGAGTTGTTGATAATGATAAAGATTGGTTCTAAATTCCTCAGAGAGGGATTGACGGGTGCCTCTGTAGTCTGAACTCTACACTGGCGAGGTTGAATACTTTCATGTTTGAATGCAAAAAGACAACTTTGAAACTTGTTCCAGTCCCTTTCAAGGGTCCTGTTCCAAACCAGAAAGCTACTGTTCCTTTTAACCACTTTCTGCTACCCTTTTTGACTCTTTACCCCTAAATTATTAGCCCCCCCCCCCCCCCCCCCTTTTTTTGTATTTAGACATGTCATCATAATTTAGCTACACATTCATCTTAAATGTTTTTTATCCATTTATTTATCGTTAATACTTTATTATAATTTATATGGATAATTTCATTGATTTCTTTGTACTTAATGATGATAGTTGATTTAAGTGTGTTACACTTATATCCCACCCTATGAATAGAACGTTAATAATTTAAGATCTCTTGATTATCTAAAACACTCTTACTTATTTTTGTTATTGAGATTATCTCCAACTGTGCAGGTTTTTGGTTTGTTTACACGGGCATCTCCAATTATAGGAAAACTAATCCATGTACTTTAGTTTTAAATTATAGGAAGCAATTGTTTTAAAAAGGAAATCTCAAAAATGGGTAAAGAATATATCTTCATAACGGGAATGTTTTTTCTTTCGACATATTTCTTATACACTGTAAATTTGCACCAGAGACTGAATGATTTTTCACCGGATAGTTTTCGATGATGCAAATTATTCAACCAGAGACTAAATTTCTAGGTGCTTGGAAATTTTTGGTACTAACTTTTTATAGAATCATTCTTCATTCTTACCCAAGGATGAGGTAATTTGTAAAAAAGGACACACAATTGTCCAAGAGTGTAAAATTCTATCTGTCCTATATATTTGTCCGTGATAATGTTAGTGGTTTCTCAAACAATGAGACCATCTCGAGGTCCTTAATATTAGGCTTGTTTATGATGTTGGATGAGACCCATGGCGAATTTATCTTGAACCAATTGCCTTATAACTCAAAATCTTTGTTCTGTGGAAAAGTTCGAGATGAAGTTGATCAATATTGGTTTTCACTTGATTGTTTCCCGTTTATAGGGTATAAAGAGTATCTTTTTGTTGTAACTCTCTATGAACATATATTAGTTTGTTATCAGTTGAGCTCCTAAGTGTTTTGAATTCAATTGTAAGAGACTTCTGCCCTTTTAAGTTACTGTATTTCCATCATGGAATATGAAAGACAAATAATGAAGAGGTATATGAATTATATATGAATAAACAAGTAGATTATTTAATTTATAATTTTGAAGTATTAAGCAAATGAGTTTTCATTTATATATTATTTAACTTGTTCATATTTTTAATATAAAATTGGACTTTTATACTCACACTTGTCGCTTAACAATCTCTTTTTTAGTGTAAATTATTACCAATTCTTTAAATTTTATTAAAAATTATTTATTGATTTTCAATGTATATTCTCATAAAAGTTTAATAACATTTCACATCTCTGAAAAGGATTAAAGAATTGCTAAGACTTCAGCACAATGCAAAATAGGATTTGTTTGATTAAGTTATTTTATAAAATAAATGTTCAATTTTAAATTAACTAATAAATTTAAAACATTATGTTAACTTATTGTTTAAATTTTCATAACTATAATGTTATTAATCCACTGAAATTATTTACTTTATAAAATAACTTAAACAAACCCTCCAAACCAACATAGCGTGCATTGACAAACCCTTCCCCATCATATAGTAGTGGATTCAATTCAAACTTACACCTAGTGGAGGACCTCTAGGGGGGACAGCGAATATTGAATTCAGTGGCATTGAAAAAGTTACTCTGATTAGTTTCCAATCAATGATTGTTATTGATAATCATTAAACATATATCACTAACAAATTTACAAAATGTTAGTTGTGCGTTCTTCTTTTTTGACTCGACTTTGTTGCCCAAAGTTAAAGTAGTGTTGAAAAATATGACACCCTTATGACATGGACGATTGCATGATGCAATGTATTTAACAACTTGCATAAGTTACCATTACTGTAGAATGTAGGCAAAGATATAATCACGAAAAATGGGTTCTGTAACCCTTTTTGACGCTGAACGAGCCGAGGAACAGTTTATCAAGTTCAGCAATTCGATGTCCAGCAATATTCATATACTCTCTTTCTATTTCCCATTTTCATTCTTTAAAAGAAAATTGATAGTATATAAGGAGCAAAAGAATTTTATGGGTATCATTTTCTAAACGAAATTGAGATGACTGTAAACTAATTCTCAATTTTAAAAATATAAAAGTAAAAGCTTCCCTGTTAGGTTTATGAAACAGTTTGATGAAGTTCTACACGGAACTAAGAATGAAACAAAATGTCATAAAATCAGCAGTTCTTTTATGCATAGCATTGGCCTACCTAGAAAGAAAAATCTTGATTACCTCCACGCCGGCAAACAAATACTACAAGACTATGCACATGGCCAATGAACTAAAGATTGATACCTATGCCATAGAAAAAAGGATTGATATCTATAAAAGGCTTCAGGTATTCTATAATATATTCATCGTTTGACTAGCCAAGCAATCCATTTCTGGCACATGTCTTTTAGAGTCATGGATCAATTTGACCCGTTTAAATATATTTTTAAGACTTTGTTTAAGAGATAATATTTTGAAAAAAAAAAAGAAAAATTAAAACTTATGTGATAATTTTAGAATTGATTTTTAGAAAAAAGAAAGAGAAAAGAATTTACTTCTAACGAAATCTCGATTTCAATTATAAGACAATCAAGCACATAGCCTCTCCTTTCCTCCAGTGCTCGATCATAAGCTTTCTTAGTATAGAAAAAAATAAAGATTAAAATTTGGTTTTCATAATTTTGAAAGCAGAAAAATAAATATTTTGGACACTGCAAAAAACATATATTTAGCATTGATCTAAAGGGAATGAATAATGGATCTAACCATACACGAGGCAAATATTATACTTATAAACGGGCATTTTCAAAATCTGTTGGCATTTATGGCCTTTGTTTGTCGGTGGATTATTGGAATCTCTGGTAATATCGAAATCTGCCTAATCAGAAATTGGAAAAGGGGTGTCCAAATAAGAGGTAAACAGCAATTTGATGTCTTCAGAATCTTCAACAAATTATATTGCAAAACAAAAAATTGAGACATTTCTTCAAGCAATTTGTAACAGAGATACCAATTAATTACAAGTTTACATATTGTGTGTTCGATTGATTAGTTAGAAGCTGATGTCAATCAACAGACCCTTCGATACAACTTCAATTTTTGGATGATTAAAACTTATTTATTTTAAATATATTTTTTCAGATTACAAAAGAAGTTGTACGTAAACCCATAGAATTAAAGAAAACGAGATTGTTTTTACTTGTTATTCCATTTTCTTAAAAAATATTTATCGTGAAAGAAATAAAACCAATATTTTTTAATATAATAAAGATTTATATTCTTAATAAAAAATATTATTTTAAATATTTAAAATTAACCTTAAAAATTGATGTTAATAATTTTTGTTATTTTAATATGCTATATCGTTCAAGCACCCCAAGAATATGATTTGTTTATTTTTATGTCAACCTGAACAAACTTACATAGTGGATTTCCTGCTATATTGGGCCAGGGTTCGATTTTCTGCACAAAAATTAATATACCAAAGCAACTCCTTCAATTAAAAAAAGAACGATGAAGCAATTCTTTGAAACAGTAAAGGAAGAGGCAGAATCTGACAAGCAATGGTTGGGCGATGAATTATTATCCATAAAACAAGACACATTTTACATATCCAGTTATCCATGTAGGAAAAGTGATCACTTTGCAGAGTATCGTGTTGGGTGTCACAAGGTAAAATCGTTTAGAGGTTACTATCATCATTGTGTTGTATATGCACAAATGGATTTTTCAAGGTTAACAAACAAGATTTTCCTCTAATAATGATTTAATTCCAAGTCATAGAACTCAATAATTAACCAAAGCTTCTAAGTTCCAATCTCTTCTAATGGACAAGAGCCTCACCCAGCTCGAGAGATTCTCAACTAAATCACCGATAATATTTTCACGATCCATCTATCTTCTATCCACTTCTTATTTTATCTTTCTCTTTTTTTTCTTATCACATCACATCTTTAGTTTTTTCTTTATGTTTCTCTCCTTTCCACAACCATTTCTCAGCCCTGAAAATATCACGATGGTGTAGAGGCATATACGGTACACGTAATAATAGAGTATTGTGGCTCCCCACAGACTAGCTTGTTGCAGTGCTCAAATCATGATAAAATGAACCATTGGCCATTGCACTAGCTAGACTCAAATTCATTCCACTGGCTGACCAATCATACAAAACACCAATAATATTGAAACAAAAATTTTAATCACTAAAATGAAACACAAAATATCTATAAAAATAACCAAATTTATCGCATACGCCTCTCCTGTAAAATATTTTGGTAATCTAGTATACATTTTCATAGAAAGAGCCACGGGTTGAGCCAATGTATATATAGTTACTTCAGGTACACAAGAGTTTCTTGATTCCTGCCTTCTGGTCAGAAGTGAGCCGGGTTGGGAATTTGATGTTGAACTTAATCCTCAGATTTCCTTTCTTTGTTGGATCCTTTGGGAATGGCATTCCTTCTCTTGCAACAACCTCCTCGTAATCAGGATGAATAACATTGTTGATTGGTAACGTTAAGTTTCTACCATCCAGTGTAGTGAGGTTCACAGTGTAACCAGTCAAGGCTTCAGCAAGAGAAATCTTTTGGGTGACAATCAGATCATTTCCATCACGAGTGAAGATACTGTGTGGTTTTTCGTCGATAATGAAAACAAGGTCAGCAGGTGTCACATTTGGCTGTTCATTTCCCTTCTCTGGGAAGGTGATCTTCGTCCCCTTCTTCCAACCAGGCTTGACGTTAATCGTCAAGATCTCTTCCACCTGTGTGGTTTTGCTGCACCCACGAGGAAATGAATGAAAAGTCATTTACGAGTCAGCTGAAGATAGAACACTATTATGTACATCCACATTGGTTAGGTTTGGTGACATTTTGCGTAGGTTGTAAATTCAAGTTATGATAATAACTTTGACATGTAAAGATGATTATTTAAAGTAGATAATGTATAAAAGATATAACAAATATAGAAATTGTCACGCACCATAAACTTGATAAAGCTTTAAACAACACAATAAAATTATATCATGTCTGTTGTAAACTCAACATACACAACACGTGCAATATTCAATTGGAATAAAAGTTAGCATACACTATGCTGTCTTAAGTCTTAACTGACAACTTACTATGCAATATTCAACGGTGCCTTAGCTATAATAAAATGTGTAAACCCACTGTTACATAGGACTTGGCCACAAGGTTACTGCACATTTTAATGCACACCAAGCTACTGCAGTGTTAAAGAAGAACAAGATAAAACATCACAGCATCAGACTTCATCAAAATGTTGATCTGCATAAGACTTTTCAACCCTAGAATTGAATGAAATGAGGCATGATGTAATCTCAAAAACTAGAGACAATCTTTTTGATAAATGCACAAAATGGTCCACCTTATTGCTATGCACATTATCTGATATGAAAAGCCGTTGCTAAAATGCCACAGTTCTACTATAGGTATTCATACCTGAAAGATATTACTTTTAGCTGTATTTGGTGTACCATCCCAATATCATTATAAAAGCAAAAGTTTAAAATGGATCAATTTGCCAAGCAACTATTGACTAGCTATAATAACCCTATTGATTATTACAAGTTAAAATCCCATAAATTCATTACTCAAAAAAGTAACAGTTACCAAAATATATAGTTTAGAATAGTAGAACCCAAAATATCCAATACACTCATCCTGCCTGACGTCAACCACAACTCAAAGAACAATACTATTGCTACGTGTGTAGACACTACCAGTTACAAGATAAATACGATTCATTTAATGCCTACAATTGTTATATTTAGAAAAGTCAAGGCAATACTACCTTTGGTAATTAAAAATTTATGTGATTCAATTCAGTTCTAAACCATCAGCACTTTACAAGGGAGGAAAGATCCAGTGTGGATTGTGGTATTTATCAAAGTTCAAAGCGTGCTATGTAGTTTTCTTCTCTGAACCAAGAAGTAAACACAACAACACAAAAACAATTACTGCATCAACAGGACCACAAAGTTTTCTTGCATATTCTACGCATGATAAATGAATCAATAAATAAATAATTAAATGAAGGATACAATTCAACACCGTAAAAAGGGTGTTCACACAAAAGATCCAAGTAGCAAGTTTAACTTCTCAAAATGAAATACAAACAAAAGTCTGGTTATGAACTGCTAAACAGCCAAGTCCAACTAGTTTCTTCTTCAGTTAATTCATACAAGTTTCTGTTATTTTACTTTCATTCAAACCAAAGAATCTCAGTACTATTAGTACCTATTCCACCATCTAACATATGAAATTAAACCATTTTAAAAATATTAGCACTAAACACAGCACATCAGAAACAGTAAGACAGGTAAAATAAAGAATAACAACTCACCCATTGGAATCAACAATCTCTCTAGAGATCTTCATTTTCTTGGTAGTCCCTTTGTAAATCTCCTCAAGGGTGCAGGGCAACTTGTTCTCAATGGGAGAAGCCTTGCGAGGGCCACTTTGATTCACATGGACTCCTCCTCCTCCTCCTTCACTAAAAGACCTAAAAATGTCATCACCAAACATGCCATTAGAGAACCTCGATCTCATGCCAGCACCACCACTTCTTCCCGTAACCCCACCAAACGGGTCCGAGAAGCCAAAGAACTCAGCAAAAATATCATCAGCATTTCGGGGATTGAACCGAAACGACGCTGGAATGTCTCCGGTGGGAAAGAAAGTGGTTCCTCCACCAGAAGAAGTATCAGGAGGTGGCACTTGACCCTTCAGACCCTCTTCACCGTATTGGTCATAGATTGCTCTCTTTTGAGGATCACTCAACACCTACCACAAAACCTCCAACAAAAATTAATAAAAAAAACATTTTTTTTAATTATCATTAAGATCCAATGTTAAAAAAAGGTGAAATTTTTTAGATACCCTTGATGAGAAACTTACCTCGTAGGCTTCTGAGATTTGTTTGAACTTGGATTCTGCTTCCTTTTTGCTGTTGGGGTTCTTGTCGGGGTGCCATTTCATGGCGAGCTTTCTGTAAGCCTTCTTCAAGTCGTCTTCTTTGGCATTCCTATCGACCTGAAGGACCTTGTAGTAGTCAACCCCCATGTCTCGTTCAAGGTCTTCTCTCTTTCTCTTCTTCACTTTCGCTATTTTTTCTAGTTCTTCAGAGGTTGCAGTGTTTATGGAGTTAGTATGGCAGTCCCTGTCGCGTTCGGAAGATGTTTCGGTGGTCTGAGAACTGTGTGGAAAGTTCCAGAAATCCCAACTAGTTGTATGCTGTTCAGTTTTCGGGTGATCGGATTACAGCACTACTGCATTATATCATTAAATCACCTTTCTTCTTTTAAGGATAAAAAAGTTACTTCAGTGCTCCATGACGTTATTGTGTAATATTTATTCACATTTTTATTTAAAAATTTAAAACTAATTATATATGTTGAACTATTAAGGATAGTAATTTAAAGGAAATATATATTGAAAAAATCTTCTTACTTTACAGCCGTATCCAATGAACCAGATATGTTTTCAAATAGTTTATCTTTTTTCCCTTTATTTTTTAAAAATATTTATAAATTAATTTTAAGCACGAAATGAGTTCATTTGAAATATATTTAAAAGTTTTGTTTCAGGTAAATCATTTATTTCCCTGGGTTATTCCTTAAATCACATTTATAATTTATAGGTGCATTAATTAATTCAATTTATTTAATACATTTTGACAGTTTTAATTTTCACCTAGCATTAATTTTTTTATAAATATATTAATATGTAATTAAATTTGAGATAGATTAATATTAAATGCTCATTTGGGGGATTTAATAGAAGAACCTAATCCTTTTTTTTTTATATGGCAAAGTTTAAGTATAATATTTTGGCATTATTTATTAATTAAAATTAAATTCTATTAATTAATGCACATATTCAGTAATAAATTTAAGTTTTAATTTGATAATATGTAATAATTAAATGTATTATTTTATTAAAATAAAAAATTAATTTAATCAATAAATACTAATAATATATACAAATAACATATAATTTTATTTATATTTTTAATATTTATTTGATTTACATAATATAATAAGTTTATAATAAACATTTATTATATCCTAGTTACAAATATAAATTTTTATATCTCACAGAACCTGAATTAAAAATGAACAGCATAACATAATATAACATATTGAATTTATTACTTTAATATACACTGAATATAAAATAAAATTTCATCATCTTTTTATTTTATTATATTTTTATTTAAATTTCATATTTTAATTTTTAATATTTTATAATATTCATTAAATAAATTAATATTAAAATTAAAATTCATTTTGTTGAACATATTTAAACATTTTCATCCAATCATGTGTTATCCTTGTCACATTTTTAGTTTTTTTATAATATAAAAATAATTAAAAACTAAACAATTTATTTAAGATGAGTCTTTATCTTTAAAAATAGAATGATTTAAAAGTTACCTTAAATAAAAAAAAATTAATTTTAACTATTATTATCATTTTTATTTTTCCCCTCACAGATATAATTAAATAAATATATTTAATTAATGAGTCAACAATAAAAATATTTAAGGATTAGGTTTAAATAAAAGATAAATGAACTGGATAAAAATGAAATAAAAGTTAAACTAAAATAAAAATAAAATTAGAAAATTAAAATATTAATTTTATCAAAAATAAAATAAAGTCATGCTTATTTCCAAAGTGGTGTCATAAATTTGATTGACCGTCCAACTCATCGTATAAATGTTGGTTGTCGTACATGAAATATCTACTCTCCCAAGTCTATGTTTACTGTTTTTTTTTTTTTTATTTTGTTATTTTAAAACTAATTTTATTTTTTATTTTTAAATTAAATTTTTTATAGAAATTATTACAATTGATAATTTCTACATTTAAGATTAAAATTATTATATATATATATATATAATAATATCATCGTTAATATTATATTAAATATATAATAAATAATAAAGTTAGTTATTTATCTTAAAAAATATAAATATTTTTTTATTTTTAAAATATAAAAATAATTATAATCGCTGTTTTGAAAACGAGATATGTTTTAAGTTTATAAATACAATATACTTTTAAAATTGTATTTCTTTTTATTTTTAAAAAATTGTTAAAATTTAACTTTAATAAATTAAATAGATAATTAACTAATCTAATTATTATTTTTTGTTAATTAAGCGTTGAGTTGATTAGTATAAATATATATATATATATATATATTATTGATTAATATATATATATATATATATTTACTATCGATTAATATATTTTTAACTTAAGACTGGCATATAATAGACATGTATTCTGATAATCACAGTGTTTAAAAAATTTAAATAAAAATTTAATCTTAATTTATTTCATTTGAAATCAATATTTATGTTTTTTAAAATATAATTTTAATTAATTAAGTAAGTGAAAATTCATTGTCGCTAACTATTAAGTGTTGAGAAAAAATAATTCCTACAATTGCAAATTTTTAAAATGCTATGATAAAAAATTATTATTTTTTATCTATCATCTTATTAGGAAAAAAGCAAAAGGTAAAATAAAAAAAAAAATTTAGTCAATCTAATAAAATGGTATATTAACTAGAAATTTCCAAGTCTGTACACATAAAAATCTTAATCTTAAATAACAGAAGATATAAAACGATGAGTATCAGAAAGAATCAAATATAAACGGTTGAAGACAACCACAATTAATCCAAGGAATCACAACAATAGGAAAATCATAAATCCCCGAGAAAACAAAAAGGGCCAAAAGACCCAACAATTGTTAATTTGCTACAAACTAAGGTAATGTTCAAAGCAAAATAATGATACTCTAACAGGGAATTTGACTTGTGAACCATCTAAGAACTCGAACTGGAAGCTTTACAAGACTCACTGCCAAATTGGCCAATCCAGCACAGCAAATACAACACGGGCACAAGCAACTCAATATAGACCTGCATATGTCCCATCATCGCAATTCAGTTCAAAATCAAATATCAAAACAGAGGAAAACAAATTCAAAAGAAGAAAAATCAGAAAATAAAGCAACAGAAAAGACACATTGCGCATGATTAATTCGTCTAAACAGAACAACTGAAAGATCGAAAATTTGAGAGAAATTACGCACCCCAGAACCCAAATAACTGCACCAACAAGAGATAAAACCAAAGCCAAGAGAGCAAAGGGTAATCCGAGCAAGAAACCCAGTGGCCTGCATTCGCAACCTTCTTCTCCCATGTTGTTTTTTCTGTCTCTTCAAAGTCTTTGCCTGCAATTGATTAGGTTTTGCGGATGTGAAGAAGAATAAGTGGAAGAGTGAATGGGGTTATTATATATGGATAAGTGATTAAGCGTGTTGTGCTGTATTGAATTTTCAAATTATCTTCGAAGACAACCAACCGTGACGCGGACGCGAATTTTTATATTACTATAATAACGAGTAGCGTTTACGAACATTCGCTTGTAGACTGAAACACCCTTTTCAATATTGTAATTTACATATATTACCGACTCTGTTTTGCTCTCTTTTCTTGGGTTCCTTTTGGTATTTCGTTATTTGGAAGTTTCCTTCTGTGTTACAGAGGTTAGTTGGGCGTCTATTGCTTCCTTATTTATTTCGCACGTTGAAGTTGACTGTTATTTCTTCAGATAACTTGTTCGTAAGTAATAGACCAGGTAAAATTATTTATTTAAGGCCACTAAATTACAATTTCTTTTAAGCTTCATAGATCAAAGATTTTTAATGGCACTTATAAGCAAATGTTTCAAATAATAAATAACACTTAAATTAAATAAATTTAATAATCTTAAGATGAAATCATAAAAATTGCACATTCTTCACAGAGCTGACATACAAGAAAAAGTTTCTATTAATTCCAACATTGAGTCAAACCAATCTGTGTATATATGGAATAATATAATGTGTTTGACCAGTTATGCGTTAGTGGTAGAGAAGAGGATGATAAGAGGAGGATAGAGGTAAAAAAAAAGAGTATGAAAAGAAATGAAGATCAAATGAAAATAGATATATTAAAAAAATCTCACTTTAGGAAAAAACCTACTAGTGTATAGGTAGAAAAAACAAATCTTCAAAGGATAAAAAATCCACAAAAAGGAAAGGAGTAGGGTTCTCTCCACTAAATGATAAAGCTTAAGGTCTACATTTCATATCTATTTTAATCTTGAATGTTTTGGCTTTATCTATTTAAGTTTTTCTTAAATAGATTTAAGAGTAAAATTATAGGTTTGAGTCAAGTTTAAACTTATATTTTAAAGCTTAAATAAGAAACAAATTCTATTTTGTTCAATCCAGTAAAACTCAAAACTTAAATTGAGTAAACTCACTATAGGTTTAAGGTTTTTTATTGTTATAAATAAAAAATTTTATTTTATTTTAAATATTAATATAAAAATAAATTATTCTTCATTTTTAAGTAAAATAAAAACTTGTATAATTTTATAATTAAAAAACAGAGAATAAAAAACTTTCAGTTTTGCAGGTTAAGAATCCCTTAAAATCTAGTTATTTGATCACAATTCGAGTGATTCGGGATATTTATCATATGAAAGCTTAGCATTGTCAATTTAAGGCTTGTTTGTTTAAAAGTTCAAAAACTAATTCCCAAATATTAATGCAAAAAAAAAAAATTAAAAAATCAATAAGCATGTGTAATTTATATTGATTTATTGTATATATTTCGATCATGTCTAATCACTTAAAGTTAACTTTGTTTATTTTAAATTAAAATAATTGATAATTAGAATTTTTAGCAAAATCCAAACCTGATATGATTGAGGGATCTAGTGTATTATCACATCATTAATTAAATTAAAAATTAGGAGATAAAGTTTATGGTGTATATGTTATCTATTTTTTGTCTGTATTAGCTGGGTTTTATCAATAAAATAGATGGTGGCGACCCAACATAAAAACAGGTCAATTACCATATAGTTGGTTTAAAAATTTCAGATAGGTGGTCGACAATAAAAATTCAAAACTATTTACAATAATTATAGATTAAATTTTTTTATTCGTCAATAGTGTAGAATTAACTTTGAAAAATAAAATAAAATCCTATGCTTAATATTTTACTCTGCAATTATGAATTTTTTTGAAAATAAACTTTTTTTTGTCAAGTGTTTTTGGTCAAATTATTTTGGTCAACCAGAAAATAGAAAAAAGGACTGAAGGCCCAAGAAGATTATGTGGGCAAACAATTAGGGCCGAAGTAGTTTTTTGTCTATGGATTTCAAAAATCAATTAGTAATGGGTCTGGAAATACACTGGCCCGTACATTTACGCTCAGAGTATGTTTATACGTGGATTGTTGAGTTTTTTTTTGTTTTTTTTAATAAATAATAAATATATTCTTTTGAAATAAATAAATAAATAATTTTGTTAATCTTAATTTTAAAAGTTAAGAATAAACGACTAAAAATAATAAAATTTTATTAGTAAAAAAATATTTATTATATTTTTATAACTTCAATATAATAACTGTATATTTCTTTTATAAATTTTTTTATTTATAAATATTTAGAGAGTTGAATTTAACAAAACTCATAAATAAAATAGTTATATTTTAATAATATTAAAGTATATATATTTTAATTTGTTATCTATTTATATTATTAATTTAATATAGTTATATAAACATTATATTTACCAAATGAACCATTAAAAAAATTTAAATCAGTAAATTAACTCATGATTTTGATAGAAAGTTTCATTATTATATTGATTGAGACAGAACTTTATTTTGTAATTTATATAGGTATAGGTATATAGACAATGGAAAATGGAGGGGGAAAATTGAATTGATAGTAAGAATGGTGAAATATTTTAAATAAAAAATTGAAAATAAAAATTGACAAAGTGAGCAAGACTTACTTTTTAAAATGATTGAATTTTTTTATTAATAATTAATAATTTCATGATAATATTACAAATCACGAGTTAGTATCCTAATAATATTTTTATATAAAAATATATCAATATTTTTTAATTAATATTGAAAAATAGTTGTTAATTTTATCCCATATTTTAAAAATATTTTAAAATTTGATACGTTATTAATATATTTTTATATTATAAATTAACTAAAATACACTATAAATATAAAATTTAAATTATTATAAAAATTAATATTTTTTCTTAATATATTCAAATGAAAATATGAAAAATATAGTATTAATACATTTCAATGAAATTTGTGTGTATAATAAGATGATTAATTTTTTAAAAAATCACTACTAAAAAATCTGAAAATATAGACAGATTTATAGACAAATTTTTTCATTATTATAGATAAATTTTAGCATTATAGATAGATTTATAGACGAACTGGAGCCGTCTGTAATATGTGCGTTGGTAAATAAATAATTTATCTGTAATTTACAGATGAAAAAATCTATCTCTAATTATATACGGAAAGATCTGTCTGTAAATTAGTAATTCATTTATGAAATTTAAAAAAAAAATTGTTTCATTTTTTTATAAACATAATTATTCCTCGTTATTCCTAATTATTACAATTTATAAACATAATAAAAACTATAAAATTATATATTTAAAATCAGAAATTATTTATAAAATATAAAATTAAAATTTCATTACAAATGAAGAAGTAAACATCTAAAAAAAAATATAAAAAATAAAATAACATTATATATAACTAATAATTGGTGTGATCATCTTTTGAAAAGTATCGTCAGGAGTTAGAGGAGGAATGACGCATGGAGTTAAAGATTGGTGATGTTAGAGCTGGTGGAGGAGGAGGGAGAGATGTAGAGGTGCTTGCTCTCATGAGCTGTTGCATTTGCATATGCCGCTGCTGCATCTGTTATTGCACCTCCGTATCCTCGATACTACCTTCTTCTCTATCTTCTTCTCCATTTTCTTCGTCCACTTCTTCTTCCATGCACTTTTCTTTCTCTTTTACATCTCTTCATTTTGCTTCTGCAGTTCTTCATTGAGGGCATGGACCTAAGTGCGGACCATGTCCTCCATTTCCTTAGGTACAAGAGAAGGGGTATTTCCAGTGATAGATGCAGGAGACATAGAGTCTGCAAAGCGGCTCCCCATGCTGTAAATGCGGCCTTTATAAAGGTCACCCACCGTCTTTGACCATATAGTATCCTTATCAACTGACTCTAAATCTTGAGAAGATTCCTCATCAAGCCTTTGAACATAGTAATCCTACAGTTCAATGCAGATAATTATATATTAGTCTCGAAAACTATTTAATAAATTATTAATAATAATATATAGTGTCAATAATAATGACTTACATATGTGACCTGAGATCGTGTATCAACCCACAAGGCGACTCTTCCATGCCTTGAAAATCATCTTTTCATCCTAAGAGGAATGGAGAAGTTGCTCTACATAAATACAATTTCATTAGAAGAATTACAAGAAACAATATCTAACTTGTGTAAGGCGCATCAAACATCTTCTTAATGGTATCTGTCACCTAGTGGAAACCCTTTTGTGGTGGAATCCAACTTAACACACAATAAAATAATACAATTATTATAACATTCACATCAAATATGATGCCTGGGTCTGTGATGATTGCTACTCACTTACAACTGGAAAAATAGTGGATCCCTTACCTGTGGCCTGTGTAGAAGGAGGTTGTGTGGCATGTGTAGTCGGCAGCGAAGGGAAAGGAGCAACATACCCAGGGTTGGGCACCATGATAAATTGTTCTTATCCCCTATCTTGCGAGGTCTGCATAGTAATTGGTGTGGAGGTAGAAGTAGGAGCGGTGGGTGAAGCAGTATTGTCACGATTAGGACGTTGAGCAACACCTTTCTTACGTTTACCTGCCATATCTGAAACAAGTATAATACATGTTTAGAGACCAAATACACAAAAACACAATATTGTATCAACATTTTATTTTACATTACACAAATTTCTAATATAAATTTTGGCAGAATCTTCCTTAATATATGAATATTTTCTTATATTTGTTTACACTTAATAAAATAAATTTCTAATGTAAATTTTGGTAGAATCTACCGTAATATATGAATATTTCCCTATATTTGTTTACACTTAATGCAACAAATTTCTAATGTAAATTTTGGTAGAATCTTCCCTAATATATTAATATTTCCTTACATTTGTTTACACGTACTTAATACAAAAATCTAAATTTTCTTTACACATAATCTATATATTATGTAACAATCTATTAATCAATGCATAAAAAACATACACATTACAATCC